GTTAATGTCCTCTGTTAAATGGTCGAAGGTACATGGGACACACCTGTGCCAGATCGACTAACGAGCGCCACGGTTTCCGGAAATAACAAGCTTTTACAATCGCCAGCTGCCCATTACGTTTCCACTCGGCGATTCTTGCATCGTCTGCGAGCAGACCGAAAAGGAAAAGAGAAGAGAAATCGTAATCCGTTATTTAAAATAAGCTTTTAATTAACCAAGAAACTCGTCAAATCTCAAATTATTGAGACGATCTCAAGGAGGAGATGTTTTTCATTGAAATTGTATTGTTTTGTTGTAAGAAGGGATAAAAAAAAAAAAAGAAGTGTTTGTTTTATCAAAATACAAATAATATGTATTTATTAAGAAAAAAATATTGCGAAAGAGATATTTATTATAAAATTGTTCGATATAACAAAATACATTGCGTAATAATACTTGGATACGTCATACAAGGAGAAATCATATAAAGATGATCTTGGTTCTTTTTCATTTTAAACAGAGTCATGTAAATTTTAATGCATCAATCAAAAAAAGGTTGATACCATTATATTGAAAAGTCTTTCAAGTTTACTAAATGTTCTGATTCGAAGTTCAAATACAAATTTTTCGATACGAAATATTCATTTTTCGAAATAATGAAATACATCGATTACGAAAATTAAATTCCATATGAAAAGAAAATTAAAATTGACTTTTAAACGACATCTACGACTTTTCACCTTTCATGCGAAAGAAAAATTGTCAATGTATAACGTATATATATTTGTTACGTTTCTTTATATGAAACAATTTTTATAAAAACTTATTTTCTTAATAATAAATTCTTTTCTTAAAGTATTTCACTGCATTATTAATAACAGGTACTCTCTACATTCATTTGGAAACTTGTTATTCGTTACGCGATCACGATGGATAAGTTTGATAAAAATTGCTGTTAATTAGCGAGCGGGAATCGCGAAAATTTACGATAAAAACGGGAATGATAAGATCGCAGACGATACCGATATACGCCCATCGTTTCGCCTACAAATTGTTGCCTTCAGTCGTGTAGTTGTTTCTGGGTAGAGGAATTTATGGATTGAAACTCTCGAGGCTTGAATTGTTTCTTGTGACGAGCGAGTGATTCGACTATTAAAATTTGAGGTTACGTTGTACTTTAAATGGATATTATATACCGCATTTATTATTAGTTGAAACGTATTATCTGATATATTTTTTCTATTTTTCGAGATACATTGTAATATTTTAAATTCTATGCTTTATCTTTGAGATAAGATTAGAAAGGCCCTCCTATACGTGCTTATTAGTAATTTAAAATTAAAGGTATAATTTAATCTTTTAACATGGAGATCTCAAAGAAAATGATAAGAATCTTCAATTTTCATACACGTTTCATAGAATAGCTAGACAGTATTTTAAGTTAAAGAAGGTAGCATAATTACAATACGATTTTCAACCAAATAGAATTTATTTTAACGTTTTGAGCGTATGTACAAGATGATAAGAAAGAAAGATTTATATCTTTAAAGATAAATAGTAAATTCCAAAATAAAGGAAAAAAGTTCTAGTAAAAATAATCAAAAATGTAATACGTGCAAACAAAGTGATGAACAATTTTAATTTTCAAGTGAATTAACACGATATTTCTTGGTTAAATATTTTCTAAAAACTAATTCACTTGTTTAAAAATAAAATTATTTATAATTGTGAGAATATTAATTTTATGATCTATGTTTGTTAATAATTTTTTCTACTTCATTTGGATAAGTATTATTCTAAAAATTACAAGAATCCATTTCTTCACATTTCTATATACAGTTAAATAAAATTGTACGAGAAACTCACTAACCTATTAACTTTTTTTGTTTTAATATCTACTAATTCCTTAAAAGGAATGTCTCACATGTTTGTCAAATGTACATACATTTACACTATTGATTCCTGATTAACCTAATTTGACTATATTGAAAAATTTGATTTCATTAAATTTAATTTCCAATCACTTCAATTAATGTTTCATTTAAAATATGAAAATATCTATACAATACGATATCGTATCGAAACGTGCAATCGAGAAAATATCTCATTTTCACACTTGAGATTTGTCGCCAATGTTCAATCTTGTTTCACAACTTAATTGTATAAACGAACCACATAACCTCGTTAGATGGACGAGGATATGACCAACGACTAATTAGCACTTCGTTATCTAGCCTCGTAAATTTATTCCACCGGTGGCGTTGTTATCGCTGTACACGAGCACAATATATACACGAGCGTATACACTGTCACGGATGTTTGAAAACACGGTTTCCTCTCTTTTTCACCATGGTTTCCTACGATCTCGTAGCGTGTATCATAAGGCGTTTCGCTATCGAGAAACCTAACCTCTCTACATCGGCCGGAAGTTATATTTAAGTCTACCGCTCACGAGTGGTTACATATTGTTACTTATCGGGGTAAATGTGTGAGAATCAGACAGATACAAGACGACTTTAAATGATTTCCTTTGAATTCCATCGTGGAACACCGGTGTTTTAACAGTTTTAAGGATGTTATGGAGACTAATTTTATGTTTTACTTCCGGCAAGAATCGTTATGGGTATGCTGGTATGTAGGAGTACTGCTTTTTCTTATTTTCCATAGTCGTTTTCCATAATTGAGTTGATAATCGAGACTAGTATGATATTCATGAGGTACGTTTAACGATTATTAAAATTCTGATTCGTGGAGGAGATATAGAAGTAAGTTTATTAACCTTAGAGTGACTGATTCTGAGAATAATTATTTTTAAATTTTTGTTTTCCTTATGAATGATCTATTTTTAGTAGAATTTTTCTTCATATAAGATGAAAGAAATTATGATATGAATTCTAATTAAAAAAATTTTTTTTAAGCATCAATTAAAAAAAAATTTATTGAAAAATGTTGATGTATCGATCATTAGATAAATCAGGATAATGTTAAATATAACATATGATGTAATAACAAAGGAATTTTTAACGTAATCAAGATGACCCAACCGCCTTCGCATTTACGTGACCTACTTGATATCAATTGCTAAGAATCTTGGAGAATAATTCTTCTGTATCAGCCTTGGAAGAATTCATCCTTTCTCTATTGATCACAATCCATGTACAGAAAGCTAATATATTTTAACAACGCTCGATATATTCATTTATCCAAAAAATTAAAAAAAGAAATGTTACCTGTTCTTTTATAAAAGAATGTGAATTAAAGATTTAACTAGTTAACAAACAAAAGGATAAAAAATTTAATTTTCACATACATTTCAAAATAGAATATTTGAACTAAAGATGATAAACATAATAAATTTTATCTAAATACCAATTGCAAAATTGAATTATTTAAAAATGAATATTATATTAAGTTAATTATTAATTATACAATTATTATTAGATTGTAATCTCAAAAGTTTTATTTCCTTATCTGCATGTACAATTTTGATTTAGCTAGTGATTAAAATTATTTAATTTTTCATCAATTTTTCAAGATAATTTATTATAATATATTTTTTTTTTATAATTAAGATTTCTAAGTTTATTGTTTTGTCTCATTTATATTTAATTATTAGTTAATTAATTTGCAATAGTTACAAAATACAATAGACTGTAACTAATTTTGTAATTAATTAAATACAAAAATTCATATTTGTTAAATTTGAAATACAAAAAAATAGCAGATTTCAGAAATATTTAAAATTTAAAAAAATTACTATCTTACAATAATTGTATATCAAATATATCCAATATGCTTTACTATATTTTGCGATTAATATAGATCAATTAATGGTAAATAAAGAGGTAAAATAATCAACTTAGAAAACATGATATTAGAAAAGGCTCATTGTTTTCAAAAACTATAAGATTTTTAAATTTCTAAATTTAAAACATTTTACAAAAAAAAAAAAAAGAAAAAATAATTTCTCACCCATCATATCGAAACGAATCTTCAAAAACAACATTTCAACATTTCCTCTTTATCATCCAATCATCTCCAATTATCCAAACATAACCACTCGCATCCAGTAAGATTCGATAAGATTCGTCATTTTGACGTTGATTGCTCGTTTCTCGCACATGAAGCGTGCGGAATGCCAGGCATCCGTGAAACAAGTCTTCACATTGCGTATCCTACAAAGTTGCGTATCATCACTCGATAATCGATGATAGACTTGAAAAGATTCGACCGTGAATCGCAACAATTGATCTCGACCACGAAGCTTCGAATTCCTCGGCTGTCATATTAAGGAAACGAGTTTTAGGTTAGGTTAAGTGACGAAGGCACGGGAGAAGCACTGAGATCGAACTGTATCGAATCGCACAATTATTTAACGTCCTTTAATTAGTCCAATTAAAGTGTGACAGCGATTGTTCGTTACTCGATTCGTACGTAAGAATGAAACTATATTTAATATCACACGTATTCGCCGAATGATCAAACGACCGAATGTTAACGGACGATACGTGTTTAGAGGTGCGCATGCGCCTCTTGCGAGTGAAATAATAATCGTATCGATATCGATACTGTTGATCATATTCAAGCAATTCGATATTCTCGACAGAGTATCGATATATATATATAGAAATTGATATTGATATTATTGATTATGAAATCGTATCTAAACGTTTCGTTAATAAAATTCTTAGATAATCAATATTACTTTTCGATACTAATATCTCTTAATTTTTATAACATCGGGATTATTAAATATCAAGTGAATTATAATGTACATTAGATAAGAAAATAAATACATTATATTATGTTAATATCCAAAAAGGTTATATTTCCAGAATTTTAATTATTACACATAAATATAAACATCAATCATACCTTCACTCATTTAAACGTGTAATAATTACTTTATTACCGGATAATAAATTTTAGAAAAATTGTAATCCTCGATTTAATCGGATTCCATTAAATTATTAAAGCGCTCCTAGTAATTCCATCTGCGATATATTTTCATTTCTCGAATCGAAAGAGGCGGACACGTGTATCGACTCTATCCACAAGAATTCACTCGAAGACGACACCAGAGTCCTTTGTCGTCCTCGTCGTGACCAACATCTTGGTTCCAGGCACACCAGGAGGCTCCATTGTTCCGGATGTCGTCTCAGATTCAACGACTGAACGTCACGTTCCCCGGCGATACGCCGTCCTGTCGTCGTCCTCTTATCGGGCCACTCGCAGAGCCACCTTGGCAGCCTCGAATAAGCGGGCGTGACTTTGCACCGACGGCTAATCGGATCGAGAAGACGCGAAAACGCCAATCCTATAATTCCGTCGTAGTGGAAGTCTCGCGGCCTTCCTCCTGTCGGATTTTTCGCGATGGAACGCGATGCACGAGCCCTGACGGATCCCTTTCGACCATCCACAAGTGTCGGAGAACAAGTGCATTGGAATATTTTTCACGAATTGGTGAGTTTGAGAAACGTGCAATAAATGAAATGATATTAAAAGGATATGAGACATAATAAATGAAAAGAATCAAATTTTAATTGTCATTGTAATCTTACCTTAATTTATACGGCTGTTAAGTAATATTGGCAAGCAAATTATTATTGAAACGCGAGATAATTGATCGTTTCTCGTTTTTAATTTGTGTACTCTATTGGCAAAATGGTCAATTTAAAAAGATTGAATCAACCAAATTTATACGATCGGATAAATCACAAATAATTTCATTTCGTCCACACCAACTAAATTCGAACGAACGAATAAAAATTACTTTCCAATCAATATATATATATATATATATATATATATATATATATATATATATAACTAAACT